TAGCATTGTGAGGCATTTATTTTGGGTAAATATTTTTTCTGTATCTTGCTGAAAGCACCAAGACTAGTAATAAATGTATTATATGCATGATAGAATAGGATATAAAACTGAACCAAATGTTCTGAGTATTTGAATAGATTAATCTTTTTAACTTCACTTTAAAGCCCAGCTGCTACTTTGAAAGTATTACATTTTCAAACTATCACATGTATCATAATTTAACATAAAATGTTATCTTTAACATTTATCTTCAAAAAATGAAGCATGAGAAAAAGTAAAATGTTAAATAATAAGAAACCAAGTTTTTGATTTAGAAAATAAGTTTATTGTTATTCAAACATAAAATAAATGCAAAAAGCTTTAAAACCTTTTTTCTTTAATGAATAAAAACAATAAGCAAAGCAGATGGCAGCATTTAACTCTCCAATCAGATATTAAGAAACTAATTTTTAATGCAAATATCCAAATCTCAATACAGAGTTGCCTAAAGTTTGCAACTTTTTATCTGAAACAGATAACAATTCAAACAGCTTTTACTACTCATACAATTTTTCAAATATGCAAAAAAAAAAAAAATCTGTTCTCATTGTCCACCGTGATGCAAGAGGAGAATAAAATGATTTTTTATACCCAATTTCATGTAAAACAAAATATATCTCAGAAATATTTTTCATTAAAAAAAAAACAAAAAAACTATTTATTAGGAGGAGGAAGTCTTTGTTGCACCATTTTGCTTTTCATTTATTTATTTATTTTAGAAGGAGTATCATTTATTTGTGCTGAAAAGAAAATGATTTTGTTTCCATGTCATATTGATATGTGAAATGAAACACGATATGTTATAGTTCTTGTATGAAGACATTTTTACATTATTTTTTTGTAAGTATTAGAAATCATTTCTGCTTTCAGATTTTCATTGTGCAGGAACTTCTCATTATTGAAATATTTTATTCCGGCAGATCACAAGAAATAGGAGAGACCCCACAATAGAAAAAAAAAAAAAAAAAAATTAAAAGTATTGTATATAAATAATTTCATTTTTGTTTTTAAACCAGCTGAAAAGTCCTACGAGCATTATGACCTGGCATTAAATTACCCAGGAAAAATAGCTTAAAAAAAACAAAAAAAAAACAGCACTTTTAGCATAAATAGGTTTTTAATGTTTTATTAAAAAGTTTTTACTGTGGACAATATTCGTATAAGGATTCGTTCATGTCTACAAAGAAAAATTCCAAGGTAAGAGAAAAGATCAAAATAAAACTTTTTTCGTTCATTTATAAAACTGAATTTTCATTTTTCCTTTGGTTCATGAAAATATAAAACATGATGTAGCTCTGCTGGTTTAGATTATAACATAAGAAATTAGCTTAAGCGGAATTCTGTCTATCAACACTGTATTTTTTAGTTTGTTACTTACATGAAACATTACAGTCAGAGTTTGTAAAATATGCAATATTCCTTTTGTATGATAGGAAACCAACATTTTTAAGCATAAAATTAACCTGCTTTTAGGGATATAAATTTATATGTAAATTGGAACTGTAGTGTACAGAGCTTTCACATTCATTTGTTATGTCCTAAGGTAGTGAGAAGAGCAAGAGGCCTGAATAAAAGAAATCTAGGCAATTATAATTCAAGTGATTTTTGTTAAGATTCATTTTGTAATTTTCTTTGTTCATCCACACTGCACCCCCTCACTCCCTAAAAAAATGTTGAGGATGGTGATAAAATGAAGAGAACATGGCCATTCCTGTCACATATTGATAGATGTGTTTCAATATGATTTTATACTGTTAACTGCATTACAAGTGACCTGACTGTACAGTACCACTTCAGTTGCAAGAGTTTTAAATCCACTGGTCTATGAATTGTTGGGTTAATGATAGAGAAAAAACAAAAAAAAAATGTTTTCAAAGAGACATCCATACATCTAGCATACAACAAAGATTAAATGGTCCTAAATTACCAAGACCCTTTGAATTTGAACATATTGACTTATTAATTAAAGGAATCTGAATTGTTTTTAAGAAATTACTGTATCATATTTCTTTGGTGTTTTTTTTTTAATTATATACAGAAATTTTACATAGAAACATCCAAACAATCAAAATGTTTCTGCTTTGACTATATAATATCTTAACATTAATAAAAAATAACTCACATCTGACAGCTTTTGTAGCTAGATATGCAGGTATTTCACAAAATAATGAGAGTGTACATGTAAAGGAGAGGATTGATTATTTCAAAATCTATTTTAATGTAAATAGATAATTGATTTAAGTGTAATAGATGTTAGATAATGGTACTACTTCAAGAAAAAGCATACTATTGCTACTACCATCTCTTGAATCATTTTGAATGGATCAAAATTTAGGTCATTTTACAGGAAATTTAATACATTGATTTTTAGACCTGATTTATAAAAGAGTACTCTCTTGAAAATGTAATATTATAAGACTTCAATATGGTTTGAAGTTTTATCATATAGTACTAGATCTTGAAAAATATACTACATGACAATCTATATTTTACTATGAAATTTTACTAAGAAATAAATTTGTTATGTTTCATATAGATAAGATAAAAATAATTGTTATTCCTCATGGTGACTTTTCAGATGTTGTGTCAGAGTGAAAATTTAATAAAAATTAACCAAGTAACAAATAAAGTTTGTTTTCTGGATTCAGGCATCTTAGTAATTATTTATAGATCTACAACATACACTAGAATAAGAGTTAACATAATACAATAGATTTTACTGGTAGATAGGCTTATACATTTATAGGATAGAAGAAAATAATAGTAGTAGTATTAATAATTCTATCAGTTATAAGAAACTGCAGTACTAAATGCTGCATTAGTTGTTCTGACATTACCTGATATCTGTTTAAAAATGAAATGAAGAGAGAAAAAGAGAGAGAAACTGTTATCTTTGGTTCAGCAATTATCACTATTCAGTGCAAAACCCATTTTTCCATGATCATACAAGGTTGATAAGCCATAAAAAAACATGATTATAGAGTAGTAACTTATCAGTTTACTAAAAAAACAAGCAAACAAAAAACCTGACTCAAATATCCTAATTAAGAAAAAAGCTATTTATCTGTATAATTGATTCATGACTCAGGTGTTGTTGTTTTTTTTTCTTCAGATTCACATACAGATATTAGAGGAGCAGTAACCAATAAGACACATTTAACCATCTGCTGACACTTCCTTCTTGTACTTTTATTAAATGGTTAATACACAGACACACAAAATTGTCAAGGTGCACAGCCACAAGAATTTTACTCATCTATTTCAGATTTAATGCTTCTATTATTTAAAAAGAAAAATATTTCTTTGATTATTCTTTTTATTTGTGTTAAGAAATGTCTTTTTACTTTTTTTCTGTAGAAATCTCTAAAGGAATTCTTATTTTAATAGCAAGAAAAAGAAAAAAGTTCTTAAATGATAAAATGAATACAGATTGTAAACATAAGGCAGGTAATATTTAATTAAACATTAAGTTGACCTTATTGGAGGACTGTATCCAGGTATGTGTAGGCATGTTTCATGTACCAGTTATTTGAGAACACAACCATTAGTAGGCTATAAATGGAAGATTACTTAATTTAATGTTATATGGAATTTACTAAATTTTACCATTCTAATTTCACTTTTCAACATATTGAGCATATTAACATGACAGCTTCCAATCTGGTACAAGAAATGAAAATGCATGTTATGCATGTGAGACTAGTCACTAACCACAGCAATTTGGAGATTCTTAAAAATAACAGGGTCCTTCATGTTTATGTTCAGAAACAAACTGAAGGCCTCTGGCAGTGACATATCATCTAAACAATCAGGATTGCTGAGTTTCTATTGAAGTGCTAGGATAACATCAACCATGACCTCAGCAAGTTCATGGCAGACATTGCTGTGCAGCTAAATTTTATGGTTTTCACTATCAGAGTCAATGTTATTATCAATACCAAGGTGCAGGGAAGCATGGTTGATGCAGTTGCCCAAACAAGGCAATATGTGTTCCATAAGAACTTTGGCAGGCTAAGAATTTTCATGATCATCACCCTACCAACATGTGCTCTCTTACTCCACTTAATTTGAGTCCCTTGGTTTATATCTGAAGTGTTGTTAAGAGGGAGACCAACCAACAGCCCCACTGCACCCCAAAAGTGAAAGCCCCAATGTTGAACCTGATAGCCAACAGGAATGAGAACTGCCTGATTTAGACATGTAAACATTTTCAAAGCTGATAGCAGTTTTATTGAATAGCATTTTTATATTCCCCTAAATTGAACACAGACATTTTTTTTTCTAAATATAGTAAATATTTTTAGTTATAATATAATTTGTTCTCAAATACCTGGTGCATCACATATATATACATTTCATTACTTCAAACATTTTTTTCCAGTGGATACTTGTGTTTGAAATAGATACCCTAACTTTTAAGAATTTTAAACAATGTGTGTTATGTCTGTCAGTAAATGTACTTTCTGCCAGGGTTTGATCTTACATCCCCCTTTGTAGGAGAAACCACCATTTGATCCAGTATGATTTAGACCATTCAGCCATAGAGCCCAGCAAGTTCCTATTTTGCCTTTTAAGGAATGCACAGTCCCTCATTCAGATTTTCCTGACATTTATGTAATCCACACTGTTTAAAATAAAAAATGGGGAGTCTATTTCAAACATAGGTATTCACTAAAAATAACATTTGAAATAACAACAATGTCGGATTAAGAATAAATCCATTAACGCTTTAGAAATTGCTTTGTTTAGGTTTTGGATACAAAATCAAACAAATATGGGCTTACGAGAAAATCTGAACAAGGATGTATGCATTCCTTAAAAGTGAAAACAGAGCTTTCCTGGCTTGTGATGCTCTCTGTGCTTGAGTGGTTTAAAGTACGTTGGATCAAATGATGGTTTCTTCTACAATGGAGGACACAGGGTTGAAATCTGCTGGAGAGTATATTTTCTTTATTAAGTTCTCAAGAGTGCCAGTAGATGTTAGATGTAATACACACTGTTTAAAATAAAACACAGGCATCTATTTTGAACACTGGTATCCACTAAAAATATGGTTTGAAGTAATAAAAAAGTTGGATTTAAAATAAAACCAATGACACTATAGAAATTATATATATATATATATATATACACACATGCATATGCCTCCCCAAAATGTCATTTGCATGCTGTGTCCAGAAATTAACTAGTCCCACCAGTTTTTGCTATAGGCATCAAGGTGTACCCCTATCCCCAACCCATAGTGCAATGAAAAGATGATATCTTGGAAGCAAGCTCACAGAAACTAAGTTTATACTTATTGCTTTCCAGCAATGAATAGAGAGTGAGTGAGTGAGTGAGTGAGTGAGTGAGAGTGTGTGTGTGTGTGTGTGTGTGTGTGTGTGTATATATATAATAAAACAGTTGTATATATTTGTAACATGTTTAGGATACATGTATGCGAGTGTCTGTATAAAAAGATGCGTGTGTGCACACACACACACACACACACACACACAAACATGCACTATTAATTGTTTTATTTAGTTATAAAAAGGTAAAAATAATATCTTTAAATTCATCTACAAAATTTAAACAAAATGCTGTAGATATGTAAAATTATTAAGACAAACCAACGCCCACTGCAGTTGGGATCATAGAGTCATTGTGAACTCCACAATCCTTTCAAATTAAAACAAAAAGTTATTTATTTTTTGTCATTTTTCCTTATAAAGCTTATTGTCATTCTATTAGAGAGCTGGAGTTTTGCCATCAACTATTTACTTTGGAAGGTGTGGTCTTACTGTTCAACGTGGCATTCCAAATTTTCATCTCCTCTCCAATTGGGCCCTCTCGCCGTCTTTCTCCTTGGCGCTCATTGTGAGGAATTCCAAACATGGCCTCACCTAAGTCCTCACTCAGCTGAGCCAAGACTGCTGGCTCATTGTAGTGGGTGACTGCTTGTGCCATAGCACGAGCTCGTTTTTTTGGACAGCTGCTTTTAAAGATTCCTGAACCAACAAACACTCCATCAACTCCAAGTTGCATCAGCAAAGACACATCAGCCGGGGTTGCTAGAATCAAAACAGCAGTTATCAATCAAGGATTCTCAAAATTCCCACAAAATCAAAGTGACTGGCATTAAAAATAAAACAAAGTAATATCAAACTCAATCCAAATTAGCATACCAGGTGAGAAAAACTATGGGTTATTTGAAATTTTAATATCCTTAATTACTTTTTACACTATTTACATTGTTTGGAATGTTATCCACATCTTTATTTTCATATTCATGATATTTTGGCCATTGTACACTCTGGCATTTTCAGGTGATATATGTTGGAATTTTGAACCGAACACATGGCCAAGTGGATAAAATTGTTGGTTGAAGCAATCCAGTGACTTGACCCAAAGAGTTGTGAGTTCAATACTTGATCGCAGCAGAAGTGAACAAAAACTTGGAGAGTTGAGTTACTAAAGGGAAATAACTGAAACCGAGATATCCAGAAAAGGCATGGCATGTGGAACTAGAACAATCTACCACAGAGAATGAAATAAAAGGTCCAGTTTAAAACAAAATAGTAGCAGTGATATGAATATTTCCTCACTAATGTCAGTCTTCAAACCTAAGCAAAAGGATTTTAAATGCAAGCAAGCCTTCCCTGTTTGGAAGATCGGTGAAATACAATGATTCTACTCCTATTTCTCCCTATTAGGCCTTGTATTGTACTTTGTTTGGTTTGGTTTACAGCAAATCAGCCATAATGGGTTATTTAATGCTGACAAAATTTTTATTGGCAATTTTTTTTTTTCATAAATTTATTGCTGGTAATATTTTTTTTCAGAAATGTATTGCTAGTAATGATTTTTTTCAAATTTATTTAAAACCTATTTTTACACTTTCATAGTGCTTTGAACCCCAGTTTGAGGGTTAACTATTTGTGCATAGCTGGGACCCTAACAGGTGCTACAACCCCAGGTAAGGGTGGACCTTGGAACACCAACAATTAAGAGGTGTTTCCATATTCCTCAGAACCCCTTGCTGCTGGATGTAGTTTATTATCATACCCAGGACACCTGTACTTTGTAAATATAAATAACATCATTGATATTCAGTTTAGTTAAATGTGTAAATTTTGTTTCATTTTATCTAAAGCCATGTTAGGCACAAGATTACTTTTTTTTTTTTATTAATACACTATTTTTGGATAAACTTTATTTAATTCATGGCCATATTTATAGAGCATTCCCAGAAGACTAAAATCAATAATTAGCTCAATGGGAAAAGCACAGAAAACATTGAAATTCCATGAGTGCTACTCTTGTCATTTTGTGAATATAAAAATTATTTTTGTTCTTTAAACTTAAATATAATATGAAACTATATATATATATTTTTTTAATTTGATGGTATTTTTCCATGCAGAAGACACAAATTACTAATGTAAGGAATAAACATCAGGAACACATGTAAGTCATATTTATTTAAAATGAATTGTTGCTTAATAATATGGAAATATTGACTTCAATAACAAATAAACAAGTCTTATTATCCCAATCTTTAATATGCATTCCTATGTACAAAAGGGGATACTGAAAAGTTCTCAGCCCAACCCTTTTCCCCAAATCTGATGAAATAAATATCAGAATTACTTTTAGAGCTTTTTATGTATGCATATTTTAATGTATGATAAAACATACATATTTGAAAAAATTTACATTAATAGGAAGACTAAAAGCAATGGTAATGATAAAACCAATATGCTTGAATTGCATTATAGGTGATTTAAAAATTTTTTTTAAATAGATTCATTTTAACTGCTGATATATTATTAGGAAAAACAAAAGGACCAATCTGAAAAAGTATCTCCAAATGGTTCCAAGGTTACATTGGCCAACTTTTGATACTTCAGGTTTCCTAAATTCCTCCCACTATTTTGAATAGTCATCTAGTCATGTTTTTATCATTGTATTTATGTCTAGTTCCTCAATCCGCCCCCCCCATTTGAAATTCTTAATCTGGAAGCCAAGTACCTCCTATTTGAGAATCACTATAATAATGCAGAATGTTGCTTACCAATTCCACCAGCAGCAAAATTGACAACCGGCAACCGACCCATTTCAGCGGTTTTGCGTAACAGTTCAATTGGGACTCGTAATTTTTTGGCATATTCGTAAAGTTCTGTTGGATCCATTGCCTCAGCAATTCTGATCTGTCGGTTTATTGTTCGTGCATGTCTTACAGCTTCTGCAACATCTCCTGCAAAAAAAAAAGAAAAAAAAAGTTAAATTGAAGTTACTCTAAAATGAGATATTTTGCTGCATCAAAATTTATAGAATTAGTTTCTTTAATTATAGTTTCATGCAAATGGATATACACTGGGCAGATTTTTTTGTTGTCTTTACATACAATTACAACCTGTCAAGGTTATATATTATTGTCCAGGTTAAAATTACTTGTAAGCTTTATTTTTACTTTTTTGTTTAAATTTTTGAGTGACATTTAACCATCAGCATTATGTAGGTGACTATTTTTGACAAGCAAAATGTTAGTCCTGTCAAAAGTTGAATTTTAATTTCTTGGTTGTGTAGTTATATCCCTCTATGGCAACACCTAAAACAATCTTGGTTGAAATTGAGAGCCAGGGGATTCCATATACATATATACATATTTATAAATGATGCAGAGTGCTAAATGTTAATATGGCAGCCATTTAAATATAGGATAAAAACCATACTCTGTGTAAACTTTTCCTCTTGTTCTTTACAAGTGAAAACCAGAGATTAGAGTAAACTGTTGTTTTTTTCTTTCAGTTTCTAATACATGTCATACCTGTTTAAATTATTGCAGTATTGTGGTTGAATTTAGAAAGGAATTTCAATACTGATTTTAAACCACAAAACATCCCAATTAAAATGAAAAGTACAAGAATTCTATGAAAAATGTCTTGATATTTTTATTAAAGTTTGGTAATGCAGATATATAAAATTTTAGATTACTTACCTGTACCTGCTTCTCCTTTAGTTCTTATCATGGCAGCTCCTTCTGAGATCCTTCGAAGTGCCTCACCTAGATCCCGTGCCCCACACACAAAGGGAACAGTAAACTTGTGCTTATCAATATGGTTGTCTTCATCAGCAACAGTAAGAACTGAAAGTATTTATTTTTTATTAAATTAAAAATAAATAAAAGTGGGCAACAACTTTGATCCTTACAACAAATCTTAAACCTGAGTGAAAGATAATCTTTTTAATGAGAAAATACATTACAATGTTGACAAAATGTAGAAATAGCTAAAGCAGCAGGCGAGAAAACTAAATACGAAGAGGTTTTGAATTTTTTTTTTTTACCAGTAACCACAATTTCATCAAAACAAAAATTAGCTGATTTCTGGCCTGAAAAATGTTTTGTTCTTTATAAGTCAATCTTATATTCATAAATTATGTTATACTTTATAATTATATGATAATTTATTAATACTTGCACAACAGTGATTTATGGTCCCCCCCCCAATTCAATATCAGAAATATAGACACTGATTTGGGAATCAATAGTAGAAGCATCAGATGAAGTATTCACATCAAAGTCTTCACATTTATGATGAAAAAGAGAAAATGGAAACCACCTTTACAGTTATTTGAGGCAGACTCAAGATAAAATGTGATGGACTTACCTTCTGATTCATCCACCATATCAACACCCAAGGCCTCTAATATCTGGGCTTCTGCAAAGTGACCGATTCGAGTCTTTGCCATAACAGGAATTGTGACAGCATTCATGATTTCTTTGATTTTCTTTAACAGAACAAAAAGTTGATTATCCAAAGAGAAAAAAATATTCTTCTGGTCTGATAAGTAAAAGTTTCTTTCATATGGTACAATAAGGAGGACAATGCAAATTTTAACAAGAAAAACAAATTAGAAAATTTGACCTATTTTATGCCTTATCATCAGGACCAGAATGCTAATCTTGGTTGTTTTATTCACATTTTGGTCTTCTTCAAGGATCTATCATCATACTTGGTAATCTTCTTGGAATTTTAACCCAAACACTTTATTCAATCCACAGGGGGTTGACTGTTTTCCTTCCATGTTTCTTGTTTAGGGAAGATAACTCATATCAGTTAAAAATATTCATACTTGTTCTGTGTCCTGACTCAGTTGATGGAATTGTAAGTCTTTTCTTTCTTAATGAGAGGCTCCTAAGACTCATAAATCCCATCAGATGAGTACAGATAATGGGTTTAAGGACCTAAAGTTACACCCCATGGCCTAGTGCACAAAAGTATTAGTTAAATCTTATCTGATTCTCTAGCAGTTTTGAGTTCAATCTCTGGGTCTGGTAGTGATGAAAGGTTATGGTAGAAGAACTGGACAAGCAACACAAAGGTGAATAAGATTGGTGAGTAATGATATGAAATATTCCTTATGCATGGAAAGCAAAATGAAAACAACCAACCCTGTAGTTTGAATAAAGTGTCAACAGCTGAAAAACTGACCATAACAACCAAAATTAACCTGCTGATCTGAGTAATATGGCATATAATAATATTATTATTAATAATAATAATTTCATATCTCAAAATAACTGACATAAAAAAGGTAAAATGAAATAAATTTCAAACTAAATTTTCTAATTAAAAAAAAAGAACTTCATTGGAATGGTCAGCAAAACATTGGTTAATTTCCAATTGATTCAAACTTTATAAAATGGTAAATAATAAAGATTTTCCTATAGTTGGTTCATATATTTTAATAATTTAGTAAATATTTACAAATTTATGAATGTGTATAAAATAGGATATAGAATCCAGACAAAAGTTGAATATGACAATTGGGAGACCGATTTATTGAAACTAGATTATGCTTTATGAATAAAAAAAATTGTTTTCATATTTTTCTTTATAATTGATAAGAATAATTTTCTATTTCCAACATTCTAAAAACTAATACAATTAAAACTAATTCAATGCAATATTTATCATAAATATTGCATTGAATTAGTTTTAATTCTATTAGTTTTTAGAATGTTGGAAATAAAAAATTATTCTTTTAAATAATCTAATAAATAAATAGTGTTTAATATTTTTGCTGTAAATTTTCAAAAACAAAAAAAATGTATAAATTCACTTTCATCATGTTTAGGTTTTATTACAATTTTAAATATCGGTTTTTAAAACAATAAAAATTGTCAAGGAGTGAAGGCAATTAAAATAATAGTGGTATCAAAGAAAAAACTATCATTTTGACACTTCATATTTTTGTGGGCAGGAAGGTCCAAGATTGCCAAAAAATGGACTTTATGGTTATTTTGTAAATATTTTAACTACAGTATGTCCATACATAATATAATATGTTGGAACTCTATGTGTTTTGTGTGAAAATAGTGTCAAAGATACAGGAATTGAGATTGTATGAATTAGAAATCTGAGAAAAGATTGAAACTGAAGCCTGCAAGGAAAGATGCTCTAGATTTGATTTGCTGTCACTCAATCTCCAATGACGACCACTAGACATCTTGTGTAAATATGCAAATGTAAATAAAAATAAATTATTTTATTTAAATGGAAACCAATTTAAAAACATTGTCATATTTTCCCACTCACCAAAGGATCAGTCATTCTAGCAACTCCTCCCTGGCGTCGAATGTCTGCAGGAACTCTTTCCAGGGCCATTACAGCACAAGCCTGAAGGACAAAAAAATGTTAGGCACTCAAGCATAGAAGAGTCAACTTTTGTCTTAAACCAGAAAATGGTATTTAATATTACAAATAACTTTTAGTATTATAATGATAATTTGAAGAATCTTTTTGAGGGAGGTGTAAGTAAATATTTCTTCCAAATTTTAAAAAGGCCTAATAAAATTTTATTGTCTATTTTGGGGTCGGACCAACAACTTTAGGGGTCATGGGTGACAATTGTTGACTTCATTTTCTTAATTTCAAAATCAAAGATACATTTTACAAGTGCTTCATTTTGATGGGATGCGGCTCTTTACAGCTTTCTTTTCTTTAATATCTGTAAATAAACTCTTCATCATCATAATTGATCTTGGGAAAATAACAGACTGGTTCCTCATTGCCACCTCAGTTTTGAATTCAGAATTTTCAATCATCTAGACTGTCAACCAAGGCTAGAGAGCCCAGTCTATCATCTTATTTAACTGAGGAGAAAAGGGATGGATTCACACTTTTTAGTGTAATGTGAATGCAAACTGTCTCAGATGGAATTTTAACTCAGTAATTTTACACTAGTTATTTAGGGCAACATTAAAGAACCTACAAAAGATGTACTAGTTATCTATTATTTTTAAGTAATAATACTAAAATTATCAAACCATATAATAATTATGTGTATTTATATATTTCCTGTCCCATCTGTAATAGAAATGGAAGGAAAAACAACCTTAGTAAATTTATAAGTGGTTACTTCTCTTAGTCATTTTAATAATCTAGACGAATAAAGTGAGCGAAATAAAGGGTTCAGTTCAACATTCAACCACTTGAAGAAGGCTGTAGTGTACAACGGCCAAAATGTAATAAATATGGCGACAATGAGGAATAGTGTACACTAGTAGAATCTTGATGACGTAGTGGGTCACAATATCATGAACCAAGAGGGTCTACAATCAGAGATCGTCAGAAAATGTCTACTACCATAGTGAGTGACGCCCATTGCATCACTCACTCCAGTTCCAGCTTTCCTTTTTGCCAATGCACTGGTGCCGGGTCAATGGATTGGCAAGCCCCACATTTCTTGACGACTGACTTTTGTCGATGCTGAAGGGTCTAGTACAGGGTTTATCAGTGGATATTAGCCATCTGACTTGTGTTCAACTTGGTCTTCAGAGTGGCACACACCAACTGTACTGACTCGGTTCCCACTTTGTGTAGTTTTAACCACTTCTGTGGCATTTTGGTAAGGCAGTCTGCCTGATTCAGATTGGACTTGACCAGTGTTATGTCCATTGTATTCATCCACAACCTTGAAAAGTGTGTTCAGCTGTCTCCGCACTAGCATTTCACCAGATGCCTTTGCATTTATTTGTGCCCTACCAGTTAGGATGTTTGAAATCCAGTTGTGGATACATGCAGAATTGGCAAAGAAATGTAATGTCAACACCTGCCATCAAAGAGCCAAATTGACACCTTTTTTGTTGTGTCTAGCTTGGCCAAATTGATGTGCTTAGCATCTTCAGCCAGACACAGCCAAGAAGCATCCTCAATGACATTTCCATCTACTTTTAGTCCCACTCCCATAGCCACAGAACTTGCACCTACTACGCCTTTATTTCTCAGTCTCTTCCTATGGGATCTTCCTCTTGTATTCTGGCTATCATATCAGCTATTATGCAGTTAAGAAAGGCATCTTCAACTTCATCATCTCATCCTGTGGTTAGGGTGCTTGCTTGTCACTTCACAAACGTAGTTGCCACTCTCAGTTAGCTGCAAACAGAAAGTAGCCCACATGTGTCAGCGAGTAATCTTCATAGGGATATCTGGGATTTCTTCCCCTTGTCTCTATCAAAGAGTGCCATCATCGCCCCCAGACTTGCAAACCCAACACCTTAGTTCCATTTTCCAATCTCATGGGATCCGTACATAATAGTCAGTAATTGCACAAGTGCTCTCTCATACATGTGACAGGAACCAAGCTTTTGTTGACATAAATGTCATCAATATATGCTGATATGGCATTTCTAATGGCTTTGTCTTGAGACATTACTGTGTTAGTTACGGCTTTTATAATAAGTGTCGCATTCAAGCCAAAACCCAGTTGTGCGAGGCAGTATCTTCAACCCTTCAATATTACAGTTTGATATGGCCACCGTATCTTATCAACATGTATCTGCAGATATGCCCTTCACAAATCCAGTAAGGTTATTTTAGCCCCCAGTTGTCACCATTCCCACAACTTTTGTGCACACACCTCTGAGTTAGCGGTATATGGTTCCACAAACCCATTTAACTCTCGGTAATCCAGTACTGGACAGACCTTCTGTTTGATCTCTTGCATAAGTGTCATTAATGGGATCAGACTCTTAGGCAAGCCAAGTTCATCTCTGGGATAAGGCCACAGCCACCCATTATCCAGCCACAATTGGAGCACCATCGCATATTCACTCCATACATAGTTGGGTATTGCATATTCTGGCACTGTATTCTTTAGGTTTATAGGTGGTTGTCCATTTGTCCCATTTCCACGAAGCTGTCCATACTTTTTTTATGATGACCGAACTCTGTGCTAAAGTCAGGCTCATTGATGGAAGTAGCAGCTCACTGGAGCATGTTTCCTTCAAAAAAGCATGCTTCTCTTGATCTGTTATGTGCACCCCACCCAGTTCTCTGATTGTGTCAATCCCAAGAAGATTGAACCCAAGTAGTGGTCCATCAACAATTAGGGCATCAATGTGCATGGGTTGAACATGACCAATGTTCAGCATAATACTGCCATGTCCACAGCATATTAGGGCCTTACCATTGGCTGTCAGTACTTTCATCTCCAATGGTGGCATGTGCATTTGCTAGCCAGTGTCTGCAAGCAGCCAAATCAACCAGGTCCATACACTTCTTTCCATCTACGGACACCTTGATAATAGGCAGCACCTTGTTCTTTATTTGCTTGGGGAGAAGACTGGTGCTGATGCCTGTTCCCCAGATTCGTTTTCCCTGGAACACTGATATGTGCCCAACCCTGTTACACTGAAAACACTGAATCTTGCAGCAGGATCTCTGTGCCCAAGTAGCCGTCATCTCTAAGTAACCCTGCCTGCAATTCTTGGCCAGGTGGTTGAGACCAGAGCACTTAAAACAAATGATGCTGCCCTTCTGTGCAGCAACGTCATTATGCGTTTGTTGGATGGAAGTGGCAACCAACTTATCGGGTTCATTGCTATCAATCATAACAGCCTGAACATGAGTGAAAAAAAGTCATGGTGTCTATTCTGGATGATGCCTGGAGAAGTTGCTTGACTTGTTGTGGCAGTCCAGAAATGAATGTGCATGCCATCCACTGCTTGGACAGTTGCCCCCCCCCCAACCAGCAGAGCTAAATGTTTTAACTCTGTTAAAACTTTGTCTATGGTTACCCCTGGGTGAAAATCTTAACACAAATTAATCAAACACATTGAATGAATCCACCACATATGCAGTTATAAGGGCTTGCTTAATCTGCTCTGCATCTGACCTCTCCTCTCTGTCAGCTGCTGGTACACAGTGATAGTTCTGGCTTACAAGTGCAGTGGCAGTATCCACTCAATTTTCTTCATCTTGCAGTGTTTGCAAAGAAATTCCCAATCTACAATTTGTATATCAGTAGCAGCCCTACTGAATTAGGGCATTAGCTAAATATCGACTGTGTGCAATGATTGGGAAGAAGGCCAAAATAGCTGGTAGTTAAATGAGGTTCTATTCCTCAGGCTGCTCGTACAGCACTGAATGCTCCTTCTGAAAATACCATTCTTGAATTCGCATATGCATCACCAATATAAAAATTGCCACAACCTTTTCACTGCTCCAGCCCTTTTTATTATGTCAAAACCACAGCCCAATCATCATTCTTTGCTTTACCTTCAGCCATACAGTCAAATGTCATCCTCCAGTCTGACCAATCACCCCGGGTTGAACCGTGCTAAGCTGTATAAAAGCCAACATTCCAGAATTCCGTGTGTGTGTGTGTGTGTGTGTGTGTGAGATTAATGCCATTTTTAAAAGAACAAAACAACACTGCTACATGTCACATATTGAAGTAAGGAAGTTATTATATTCTTTTACACCAGATGCAACTCATTTACTTCTACGTAATTGTTCACTATAGACAGATTGAAGTTTGAATCTTTCCAGGGGTCCATTCTTTATTTCCAATCTGTTTTGCTTACTAACAACCAGAGAATGACAGTGTGAGAGTTGCCATAAAATGCAACTGGAATTCGGATAAAAAGAAAAAAGATATACTTAATATTTGTTTAACAAAATCTAATAATACAAGCAAAAAATAACATAAATTGCAACTTTTCCCAAATACAAAACTGGAAAATACATAATTTTATATTCAAAATTTTTTGCCTGAACAAAATAAAATTAAGGCATTTACAAAAAGATCATGAAAAGTTAGAGGATGTTTAAAAACATGGCATTTAACTATAAAAATTTACAGTTATTTTAATGTGATCTACCTTAAAACAAATGTCAAAAAGCAAACAAAGAACATTAAGAGTATTTTTTATTCATTTATTTACACTTAAATCAATTTTTAACGCAAGAAATATTTAAAAAATTTTGTGGAAAAATTATCTGCATAGTTATTTTTCTCATCACTAATATGAAACAATTCTGAACAGACATGATCAATATTTCATTTTTGCCACTTGTCTTTTTGAAAATGAAATCTTATTAGATCTAAATTGCAATGAAGTGCTTTGAATGTTGGGTAAAATTAACAGTTCAGGCTGTTGTAAACTCATCAAGAAATCTATAACACACATAATTGAAAATTTAATTTTCACCAGATATGTCATATTTTGAAACAAAAGGACCAAAAATTCTTAGAAGAGTAATTCCAGAAACTAACAAAAGATGGGAAGTGTGATAGACTATTGTAAAAATGGCAATGAAAGTTTCCTTTTGGATTCACACCAGTATACCAAGCGAAAATATTAACATATTCTTTTTTGCACCTTTCTCCATGAAAAGAAACAGACAGTTACTCTGGACCTATTTTACTAATAAAAGAATAAATAAACACAAGTACATCAGTTTGTCAATTGGTATGCCCTGTAGCATCCACATGCTTCTTCCCAATGTTGTTTATGTTTTATCATAGTTATGCATATATTAGGAAACACAAGGCAATAATACTCTATGGATACTGTATTTTTTGTGCATAATATGAGAAATTTTGAGTGAAAATTAAAAAGTAAAAAAAGGGGTTGTATTATACGTAAATGTTTTCAGAATTTTTTATATTCTGCATAAAAACACTTATTTGAAAAGGTAAGATTGCAATACACTCAGCACAATAGCTAAAAAACACAAAATATGCAGGTGTCAATAATAATTGTTTACAAAAGATATTTGATATATCAGAAATATATGTTTCTTCATTCTTAATGTTGGCAAAATTTTTCATTTTCCTAGTTTATTAATCTACAGAAATATAATAAAGTTATCAAACAGAAAAAATATTATAGATTAATTAAAACCTTAAAATATATCACTGGATATGTCTGATTAGCACCTTTCGCCCAAAATTTGAAAATAAGTTTTGAAATGGAAATTAGAAGAAACATGCAATGGCTCTGGTTCATTTATATTCTTTAATACCATGAAAAATTCAACATTTTAGTGAAATATATATACTATGAATTTTTTTTATTAGTTAGTAGTATAAAGTCATTAAAAATAATAATTAAAAAGTGTGAATAAATAAATGAAATAGTTTGTGTTATACACTTTTGTGAGAAATGTATTAAAAGGTCAGACAGTTTATTAAAAATTTTCATTTTATGTGTAAAAGTTGTTTTTTTTTATTTATTTAGAATTGGCTCTGTTACGTTAACCCCATATTTGTACCCTCACCTCAGATTTTATAAGTACATTTTCAGTACCTTTTGTATTTGCGACAAAACATATGAATCTTAACTTCTTTATTTCTTAAATATGCAGATTGTGAGATATATATTGTTTTTATAACCAGATGAGTAGGGGCCAGTTCTCGGAAAAGAACCTTCCCTTCTACCCCCATCTCCTACCTGGTCCGCTGTTTGACAGATAAGTGTAGATGACATTAACAGGGTCCGTGAATGACGCATACCTTTTTTTGGGGGCCAACACATGACTCAACAAATAGCAGTTTTCGTTTCAGACGTGTTAAGGTAACAACAACCACACATAGTTGCTGGCTATTGGAGGAGTTGGACGTCACCAAAAACCAGACTTCGTTGTTCGATGCCAGAAGAATTAGATGCCACCAAAAACCAAAGGACCGACGCAAGAATCTAGATCAACATCGTCAACCCAAGTTAGCTATATTCCCACGATTTTTCTGTGTGTTCTCCTCGCCATCAACATGGATCAGACGTCGCCAGTCAAGAATTCATGTTAGAACATTGTCAATCCCATCCGTTACTCCCAAAAAGTGTGTAAATATCCTTTGAACAAATTGTACCCCGATAATAGTCAATCGACGTCGATTCCAACCTTATGTAAGTTTTTGCATGTTTTTCCATATCTTATAATCTGCTATTTCCGTATTCGTATGCATTTCGCCGCATTGATATTTGTTTAATTAGTAACTTATCTCCCCATCCCTTGTATTATTCAGTTTTATTTTTCTTTTTCTTACATTCACACTCCATGTATTCTAGAAATAAAATCTTTGTATTATATATTCTCGTGTTGTCTTCTGTTGTTCTGTCTGTGAATTGTTCATTTTCTCTCTGCGTTTACCGACGTCTGGAATTGGAGAATTCCCCTCCCAACGTTCTTTTCTTTATTTTTATATCGAACCTTGGGATCTCTTACTTATTTTTTTTATTTTCTCGTTGCATCCTGACTATCGTAGTTCCAACGAAACCCCGGGCGTAACAGCTCTAAAAAGGACCACCAGAATTGGTGGGCTGTTGGGAATTCATTTTTCAAATTCAGAAAAAATATATTACCCTCGAATTTTTTGTCCAATGAAAAAGGTGGCTTTTGTCATTGTAAATTTAAAATTGAGGTCCATTGAGCTACTCCTGAGAGTATTTAACAACACTTAGGTGGATAGTGACAGGTGGTAGGATGGCAGAAGTGACGAAGCCTGTTGGCTGCAGTGGTAGGTAGTTAGATGGAAGATAGTCAGAAGAGATTGGACATCACTGGCAATGAAAATCAACTTGAGTTGGTCATCAGATATGAAGCAGGGGAAGCTGGATGTAGAAAGGTTCGAGGCTCCCTCATATGAAAGTAGCCAGCAAAGTAAAGGGCAGAAATGTTTTGGTATTCTTAAAGACTATGCTGACGAAAGGCATTTCACAATAACGTCAAAATTTTCCAGAGACTCTCGTGGAAAAGGAAAAGCAAAAGTGAAGCACATGGGCCCCAAGGAGAAATAAAACAGAATGACATTGAAAAAATATCATTAAAACCTCCCGGAGAATCTCTAAGGAAATATACACATTTTTTTCATTTGTCTATTAGGTGGGTGAACCTTGTTTTTTCTAAAAGTAATTTCTTTTTAATTTCAATAGTTTTCATATTACCTTCTCAAAATTTTTTTTTAATGTTTTCAAAGAAAATGTATTGTAAATCTTTTTTTAGAGCCAAAAATTAATTTCTTTTATTTTGCCCCAAAATTAGTTATTGCAAATTAAATTTTTGTAGTACGACAGATGGATAAAATGGTACAACTTTTCAAAAAAAAAAAAAAAAATTTACTTTGGGAGGGCTGTATTACATTAAAAAATGTCATTTCTTCCTTGTTTTTAGCTTCAGAAACATGGGGTCATGTTATACCTAAGCTGTATTATACACAAGAAAACATGGTAAATACAAATAAAATTCAAATGAAATATTTACAATAAAGGCAACAAAAATAAAATTTTGTATGCAATAAATTTACCCCAGCTTCTTCTGCGATACGGGCTTCTTCAGCATTTGTGACGTCCATGATAATGCCCCCTTTGGCCATTTGAGCCATACCAGCTTTGACTTTAAAAGTTCCTGAAACAAAGGGAAGAAAAAAAAAAAAACAGTCATATAACACATTCATCTTTGCCACAGTTTACAATTATTTGTACAATATAAGGTTTTATTTTAGAAAATGTCTATATTTAATTATCACATCTCCAAATTCATAGAAATATTTTAATACATAATTTCTGAGTTGAGTAATCATTATAATACACTGATTTATTCAAAAAAGTATTCTCATTTCTGTTGTTATAATCACAATGTTTTTGCCAGCCTGTTATATTTGATAATCATCTGGAAATTTTGAACTTAATCTTTTATTTAATCCACAGGTTTAGAGTAAATTTTGCCATCCATTCTAAAGGCTATCTTGTGATGCTACTAGACCAGGGTATGTGAATTTTACTGGTTGTATTGATCAAGTATGACTGGCCATATGTGGAGGGAAAGGGGAGAAGATCAATAAAATTAGAATAGGGAATATAGAAAAATAAGGCACTGGATGTCAACCAGCTATTAGACTGAGCTAGAGCCATACTGACGGATGATACATCGGTGGCAGAATTGATTGCGGCAGCTGTAAAGCCTGAGCAACTGGGCACAGACTTGACTTCTGCCAGTTATACGCAGAGCAATATTGTCTGCCACAGATGTAGTGGTGCTAATCACTTGGCTAGATATTGTTTGAGTTGACAGACTGAGCAAAGTGGGAGCTGGGTGAAGAGATAGCACCATATGGTGCTATCTCTTCGCTCCTATGCTGAGTCTCCCAACCTCACCAGTTTGTTTTTGACCCTTTCATCATCGGCTAGGTCAGACTTTGATTTTCCCATTCTGTCCTTTACTTTTACCCTCCCCACTCCATTAGTGAGTGTGCCACTTGATTCTATCTGTCAACAGAATACAGTGGTCACTCTTATTATTTTGAGGGATGGATAGGTCCTACTAACATGTTTTGTTTTAGTTTGCTTTGTTACAATCTTTAGTTAGTTTTCTGGGTTCATCACCCCACCACACTCATTTCATGATTCATAAAATTTTTATATATTTTTTTACGAGATTTTTATACCATGGGGTGTTTTGTAGGTCCCCTACGAATGTGTAGTATTGTGGTATATGAAGGTTTGTGTGGTAAGGGATGTGTTCTTGTGGTAAATGGATAAATTGTATTGAATGGATGGGTCGTATTTGTGATTAACTAGGACTATGACAGCAGAGACCAGCATTTCCCCATTGGCCTTGTGCTACAATTACTGTATATTTCAGTAATAAATATTGTACCATATGGTGCTATTGCTGTGACAAACTGGAAATGTCTGGGAAATGGATATCAGTGCCAGTCTCATTTCCCATCCAGTTATAAATGTGGTGCTGCCTGTAGTCAATGTATTGGTTGATGAGGAATGGTGTACAGCTCTCATTGGCTGCTCTTGGTTGATCATCTGCAGACCAAAAAGCATGTGGATGTGGAGAAGATCGGTGGCAGAATGTGGGCATGCTGTGGTGTTGGGGCTGTTAATATCTGCACTGACAGTGTAACTCAGCCAAGGTTGAAGTCCTTGTGGTGTGTGACAAACCTCTAGGCTTTGACTTACGCGTCAGAATAGATGCAATAATCGCATTAGGTGGCATCCATATCACATACACTTGAGCTGTTCAGTTCTGCAGCAAAGAAATACCAACATATTTGGTGATCCATGTTGACTAACTTGACTTTTCTGTGGAATTCAACCACCAGCAAAGGATTTGGACTGCAAAATGGAAGTGGGCAGGTGTGACACCAGCTCAGTTACACAACAGGGTGTTGGGGTACTTTGTTTCAAAGGACATTAGGGATGCCTGTGAACAAGATCTCCAGACATGGATCACCAGTGGTTGGCTAATACCATACCCCAAAGAGAAACTGGGGCCAACCAAAGGCTTAGTGCCATTAATGGCTGTCGCAAAGTACAACAAAGGAAAGGTGAGTTCAGTCATGGACTTTTGTGAGCTCAATGAACATGTTGATACATTCACTGCAAATGTTGATGTTTGTTATGTAGATGATGTGTATATCAATGAGAGCATCATGTCTGCAGAACATGTCAGGGCAAAATTGGCCCAGTATGGGCTGATGTACAAAGACCTAGAATGAAGAATGGGGTTTGCATGCTTGGACTGGAAGTCTAGGGGGAGCATAACACCCTGCGGTGGATGTGGGGAAGTGTGATCCCAAATGTCCCTGATGTTATGATTTGGCGGAATGTCTTTTCACTATGTGGGAAGCTGGTGGAACATCTCCCCATGTTTGGATGTTTGTGTGTGGCAACCAAGTTCATTAAACGGCTGGCAAACACAGTCAGAAGGGGATGGCATGACCAAATTGACTACATACTTCTCAAGCAGACAGTAAAGGAAACTGTGGTCAGAGTACGACAGGAAGATCCTGCTCAGAATGAATGGTGTGTAAATGGATCTGAAATCAATGTATGGGTCAATGAAAGCTCCCTAGCAACACGAGTGGTACTGGAAAAAGTTGGAGGATGCATGCTGGCTTCAGCCAACAAATGATGCACAACATATCACCTTGGCTGAGCTGGATGCTGCAATCAAATGCTTCAATTTGGCCCTCCAGTGCCAGGCAAAGAATCAGCTGATTCCTTATGTGTGTACCACTGGTTGTCTAATACACTCACAGGCAAAGCTAGGGTATGTACCAAAGCAGTGAGCGAGATGCTGGTGCAAAGAAGGTTAAGCACAATGAAGAAACTGGTCCAAGAATATAAGTTCTCTGTTGACATGATGCTGATCATGTCAAACCAGAACTTGGCAGACAAGATGACCTGTATATCCTAAGGTGGCTCAATATGGCCAAAAAGGGGGCTGAACCTGTGCAGGTGTGTGCTGCTTCCCTCAACACCATGAGCCCCAGTCATATAATGGAAATACATCAACACAGTGAGTGTCCAGGAGTACAACGTACAACATATTTTGACAGAAGTGTTTGTCCTTCCATGAAAAAAGCCATGGTAAAATATGTCATTGGGACCTGTGTGGAGTGTACAACAATAAATCCTGTGCCAGTCCATTGAAAAAAGGGCAGACTGGGAGTGAAGAGTAAATGGCACCAGATTGGCTTGGATATTACTCACATTACCTGAGTCTGTGTTTTGTGAGTGGGGACCACCATGTGAGATACTTGCAGACAATGCCACCACGTTCCACAGCAGGGAGTTCTGTGCCTTTTCCCATGGATGGGATATATATTTGCAATTCTAATGTGCACATGTCCCAGTAGGAAATGGAATAATGGAGTAGTGTCAAGAGGATTGTAGCCAGGATGAAGTGTAGCATTGAAGAGGCCACCTACTGGTACAATGTAACCCCCAAAGATGACACCTCACCACTGACCGTGCTGGCAAATCAAATCTATGGATATGAGTTTTGGTTTAAAGGGATTGATTTAATGCCTCTAACAATGTCTGAGGTGGGCCACAATGTGTACAAAGTGGGAGCCCCTGTGTGGGTAAAGATCCCCACACAACCGGTGAACAACAACTTTCAGAAAGGGATGAATTACTGGATCTGTTAGTCTGCAATTAGCCTTGGTGGACGGAATGCCACCCCCTCCCCCGTTAGAGACCTTTGTTCTTCCCTAAGTTCACAATCTTCAACAAGTAGTGAAGATGACACGTCCATAAGTGAGGATGAAATCCTTGTGAGCATGGATAAGCCAGATAATCCCACGGAGGAGGAATCACATGTAGATGAGGTGGATGAACATGAACCAATCCCACTTCAGAGAAGCACGATGAAAGAGCCTCTCTCTAAGCTGTCGTATTTGTGATCAGGAGATCAGTGGGAAGTGTGGAAAACATGTGTTATTACACCAGTTACATCCGGGTTTCTTTGTCATTATCTGCAAGACTAGCAAGGAACGTTGGACAGATGCTGTGAGTTATGTTGCCATGCTTGGGTGTGTGAAGTTTTCATGTTAGTCTTACTGATTGTGATTTGAAAACAAAAACTACAAGAAAAGGAGTAACTTGAGTGGAGGACGTTTGTCACTCAGGATTAACCCCCACTAAGAAGATTTACCAGTTGCTTGAATTTAAACTACAACTATACTCTATTGTTATTATAACAGAATATTTCTTTCTTTAAGCAGGATATCTTGGTTATTTTTTTACTGTATTATTTTTTGGCTGCAGTGTACCTTTAATACATTTTATGGCATGAATACATTTATTTTATTTGTAATTGCATTTTAACTGAGTTTAACACATTATTGGCTTTCCTGAAGCAAACAGAGTCATACCTGTTTTTCTGGATACATTTTCATCTTTTACTGCAGTCAAGTTTGTTACAACAACATCCGACTCTGAAAGAATTAAAAAAACATTACAATTAATACAACAATTGCTATATTAAGTGCATGGTAGCAAGAGAAAGGAATAACGAGGATTAGAGTGAAACAATGTTTATTGTTGGTTGAGAGTACAGGAAGAATAGTAATCATGTGTATGTGTAGTGTTGGGAGTTGAACCATTTCTTGTGATGGTGTGGCTGAGGTCACAGGATATAGTTGGTGCACATTTGGTTGATAGAGGTCACAGTTGTAGGTTGTGTTGTCAGTTGGTCAACCTGTTGTGTTGAAAAGGGGTGATGGGTTGGCATGGTCTTGGTTGTCGCGTTATGTGAAGCAGATTATGTGAAGCAGATGCCTTTTAGAGCTGTTCTGTGGAGTGAATGGTACGGTTGACTGAAGGAAATGCCTTGTAGATGAGTGAGTCAAGGTGGGTTTGGGAGGCCTGTTCTGTGGAGTGAATGTTGACTGATGGGTTGACTATGAAGCTGTTCTATGGGAATGCCTTGTAAACGGGAATGCCTTGTAAAATGAGTTGAGGTAGGCTGAGGTGACAGAATGGGTTGGTATCAAAGAGGCTGGGAGGATTCGAGGTTGGAATGTTTTGAGTTGAAACTGGATAGCTGAGGTGGTAGGTCAAGACAGGAAGTGGTAACAGTCATTGAAGTGTGCAGTCATGTTGAGTGGTGGTGGTGACGGTGGTGGTAGTAGTGCTTTGTGTCGTGGCTGGTCCACAACTCCGTTGTCATGGTGACAAGATCATGACAGCCATAGCAGCAGCAGCTCCCTGTGTGATGGCCAGTGGCCGGGCCACAACTGTATCCTGGTCATTCTCAGAGCCTGCTTATAAGCAGATCTGGTAGTCCCAAGAGGCGTCTCTTTTACTGGCAGGAACATTCACAAATGGCCACTGCCAGAGTTCACTTCGTAGACTGAACGTGGTGTGTGGAACCCAATATGCAGAAAATGACTTTTGTTATTTTGTTTTCTGCCTTCATGATGTTGATATTCAGCCAGCATGCAGAATGAAATCTAATTGTGATGGAGTGTAATACAATAAATAGGAAAAAGCAAGTTGAGAATGAGAAATAAAAAAAATACAATGTATTTTAGATGTTATAATAAAATGTCAGTGAATGGAAATATTTAAAAATCTTAATTTTGTAATTTTGTTCAATTTTTCTGAATAAAAATATAACTCAGTTGGCAGCAACCTATAGTAATTATTAAGGTTGGTTGGTTGTTCATTTTTATTTCTTTTGAACCAATGAAGCAAACAAAATAATATTTTTTCTGAGGGCAAAATTTCAAAGTACTGTAATGAGACACAAATGAAGAAAAGCTTGCCATAAGTTTCATTTTTCTACTTCATGTTTAATTGAATATTATTAAATTTTGGTTTAAATTATACAGTAAGTTATATCAACTGAAATTTTGCTATTAAATTAATGTTTTTCCCAGTTATCAATAGGTTTATTTTTCTTTGCTTTTTCTATTAGTCTACTTATTTTTATCGAACAGTAAGCTTGGATTACAGGACTAGCACTTTGCCATAAAGATGTCCATCTCATTTAAAACACTGAGTATAATACAATATATGCATTACTTCAACCATTTTTTTTTAACTCTAAGCTTCAATTGTTTGGAAAATCTGTCTAATCCCTGGTTTGCTGGATTAACAAGATTCAACCTTGATGTTGTAGTTGGTTATGTTTGAGTTTGTTACATTAGTTTAACACAAATATAATTTGGAAAGTATGACTCCATCTCTTCTACCTTTAACTATGGATTAAATAGCAGGGCAGACTAGGCAACCAGTTTAGGAAAGATCCAAGTTTGAATTCAATGCCATATGTAACTCTGAGAAAAGCACATTTTATGCAGCTATCGAAAAGATTGTGGAGTTCAAAGTATATATATTTTTTAACAATCCAGTAATCTTAAAAATTTAATAGATTTTATGCATTCTATTATTTTATTGAAAAAATTACAAAGATGCTTAGGAAATTACCAATAAATGTTAAATTTACTTTAGTTAAAATGGAGATTAAATAAAATGTGTTAGGTTGTGGACAATGATGGAAATCAATTCTTTCTTTTATGAAATTTAGGTTTTATTATTTTTCAGTGGAAAAAAAATTAAGACTAATTCTTATAAAAAACAACAACAAAAAACACAATGAAAAAAAGAAATTTCTTCATTATGGTGTTATATAAACTTCTATCTGATTTTTGTTACAAATTCATTGAGTAGCTTTTTTTAATACAAAAGATATCAGCCATAATTGGATTTATTCTTGACATAGTAAAATTTTGAAGTGAGTTTGTAAGCAAAAACCTGCAGAAGTTAGAAGTTTTTAGACAATCTTGAAAATTAAATACTCAAAAATTGGTAAAAGCTATGAATCTAATTTTGGGTGTCAGTACGTATCATATCAAATCTCAGCTTTTGTATCAAGTGCAAACAAAAAAAAAAGTGAAAAATCAACCTGTCTTACAAAAATAAACACATTTATGCACACAAAAAAATTTGAAATTCTTTTAAAAATGCAGGGAGGGGGAAGGGGATCTTGAATTATAATGACCTTTTCCATTAATAATTAGTAAATACAATTTTAATCTAATAACAATATCAATTGGACATTACGAATTAATACAGAATTATAAAAGAATTAAAACTGTAGAAATTATTATAATTAAAATTAAAAAAAATAAAAACAATTCTTGTAAAAATTCATTATTCATTGATGTTATTTTTTTTCCTTATGAAAATAATGTCCATAATATATTTTATTCATAAAAGCAATTAAAAGTTTTTCTAATTAAATGAGGTTTTAGTTTTATTGCATTTTTTATTTTACAATTCTGAGTAGATCTTCTGAGGAGTTGTCATTATAGCAAATATAAACATTAAGCAATACAAAAAAGAACTTTTGAAATTTCATAAAATTAAATGAGTAGAGGAGGGGGAATAACAAAAAAATATGTATTTTACCAAGGTTTTCTAGAAAAAAAAAAGGTTTCACAAATTCCTTTCTGGATATAAGTCTTGAAAGTTTCGTTAAAATCTGACAATTATCTGATTTTTGCAAGAATATCCAAATCCATAAGTTTTTCATCAGTAAAAGAAGTTCAAATTTCACATACAAATTTATGGTCCCATGTAGATGCCAAAAAATAATTTTTAGCCAAATTTTCCAAGGTTCTAAAAACGCTAAAAAAAAAAAAAAATCCTTTGATCTCCTTTGACATAAACTTTAGTTTTTATGTTTTGGGCATTTTTTTCCATTTTTGAAGGTAGCTAGTTAAATAAAACTTAACTAATCACATATAGTAGTTGTAAGTACAAATCCTTGGAGAAATGAAATAATTAAATTATTTTTTGTAAAACACAACCCTCAGTTACAACAGCTCTGAATCGTAAAGTAAAAAATGCAATAAAACTAAGACATCATTTAATTAGAAAAACTTAATTGCTTTTATGAATAAAATATATTATTGTCTTAAGAAAAAAAAAATTTTGCTGAATAATGAATTTTTAAAAGAATTTTTTTCCTTTTTTTAAAAATTTCAATTATAATAATAAATGTCCTTTTAACACACTATTTTTTTTGTAGGTACAAAAATTAAATATTGCCCAATTTTCTTTTCTGAGTAGCAAAGAATTTGTCTAACTGAAAAATTGGTAAATTTGACAGTGAGTTATTTTTTACTTTTTTTTACTCAATCAACAATGTTTTTTTTGTTTTTTAAAAAGTGATGATTAGACTTTCAATAAAACCCAAACATATGAAAGTGGATTGATACATTTTCATTATTCTTGAAAACTGACAACAAAGATATTAAGCACTATTTATTTATTAGATTGCTTATTTACAAGAATAATTTTATATTTAAAAGATTAGAAAAATAAGTGAACCAACTATAATGAAATATTTATTATTTACCATTTTGCAAAGAAATAAATATGAAAATAAATTTTTTTTTATTTATAAATATGTTTGTAAAATAAATTTAAATAAACACATAATATGTAACTGTAATTATGAATTTAAAAAAATGGATTTTCGGAGATTTTCTTTTGTTTGCTCTCATCACATAAATTCACTAAAATAGGTTGAGAGCATCTCTTCTGAACCAAGCATTCTTTTAATTTTAGAGGAGACCACAAACAATCGATATTTTGAGTATGTGTCTCCGTCTTCAATAGGTGAACAAAATTTCCCTTTTGTTTAATTACAGAATGTCTAATTTGAACTGCAAATATTGCATTGGTGGTTTACATGTTTTTTAAATTTTTTTTTTTTTTTATAAATTTTTGAATAAAACATTTTCTTTTCAAATTTGTTTTTTATAAAATGATAGATAATAAATCTTTATAAAAGGTAAATAATAAATATTGCCTTGTACTTAGTTCACATATTTTTATAATCTTGTAAATAAACATTGCTGAAGGAGTCAAAGAAAAAAAAAAAGGTGTACTAGCAGTGTCAAGGAAATAACCATCAAACTTTTAGGCTATACCACTTCATTTTTCACTCAACAAATCGAACACAAGGCTCAACTTTCAAGTTCATAGTATTCTGAAAACTCACCAGAGGCATTTCTATTGATTACAAGTCATTACTACTAAAATGTATACTGTTTTTTTAAGTCATTACTACTAAAATGTATACTTTTTTTTTTTACACAATGAAAGCAAAAAATCAACCCCACCCCATTTTAAAATATTTGCCAAAAATCAGCAAATTATCAGATTCAAACAAAATTTTCAGTACTTATTCATTAATGAATGAATATTTTACTGAATAGGTTATTTTATTAAAAACCTTGGGGAAATATTTTTTGGTGGGATATGTTTTACCTATCCCTTTCAATATCATGTATATATATTTTAATTTGATGTGTGATTGTCCAAATTGTTTTCAGTTATAAAAAAAGAAATCTTTGAAGATATTATTTCAGTAAAACATTTATCCAATATCGATTATATATTTATATCAATCAAATTATTT